TAAATTACAAGGTAACGTAGACACCGCAACACGCAAAAGCCATTTAAGCACTTTTTAGAATGCAGATTTTTTTCCATTTCTCTGTGTTTTCTATAAGAAATGAATGGATTTCTGTAAAATTTCATTATAATTACTGTGAAATTTCAGCGTTGGAGACGTGTTCACCTCCTTTCGTTCGACCTTCCCACGAGCCTCTTCCTTCGGAGCATAACCCGATGCAGCTGCTCATGGCGACGTGAAAAGATTCCATACAACCGATTCTTGCGCACCCCACTCCTTTCCCTCCAACTTCACGACCCTGTGAAATGTGATCCTTACTCTACTCCGCGAGATCGATCTGGTTTGCACGGACACATCCGAGCCCTAGCGCCCTCCGTCCTCAGCGTCGTTGCTCCGGCCGCCAGTGAAGCCGCCGCCGGCCAGGCAAGGTGAGGTGGGCACCCAGCACAGACTCTGTATTTCTCTCCGCCCTTTCCGTTTGGGCTTCAACGCCTCGCTCCATCTCAGCGTTTCTATCCGCTGCAGCACCGACGCCCGCCATCTGTTCGACGCAATGCCTCCGAGGAAAAGGGGCAGAAAGGTCAAGAGGGCGGCGCCTCCCAGCGCTGGACGCCCCAGTCTCGATGCGCTCCCGGACGAGGTCCTTCACCACATGCTGTCATTCCTGCCAGCGCAGGAGGCCGTACGGACGTGCGTGCTGGCCCGGCGCTGGCGCCACCTCTGGAAGTCTGCCACGGGCCTGCGCATTTTGTGCGGCAATGGCCATGAAGCGGCATCAGTATCGGAGCTCAGGGAGTTTGTGTACCATCTACTGCTCCTTCGAGGAGGCTCACCTCTTGACACTTGCGTGCTCGACTTGTGTGGATATGAAGACGAAGACATTCCCCTTATGAGACTCTGGATCCGGCATGTTCTGATGTGCAAAGTCCAGGCGCTAAGCCTTGATATTGGTAGGTTTACCATTCCTGGGGACCCCTGTCTTGAGGTGGGCAATCTGCCTCTCGTCTCGCAGAATCTGAAGAGGCTAAAGCTCGAAAGTCAACAAGTCAATGATAGCTTCCTTGACTTCTCCAGGTGCCCGGCATTGGAAGTCCTTAAGTTCGACGATTGTGAATTCCTTGACTGCCATAGGATTTCATCACAATCTCTAAAGTTTCTAAGTTTCAGTAACTGCGATTTTGATACAGAGTTTTGCACTTATATTTATGCCCCAAATCTCATTTCACTTTGGCTTGAAGTCACTGAAGGCTGGACTCCTTTGCTTGAGAGAATGCCTTCCTTGGTAGAAGCAGTTGTTAAAATCAAATTTTCTGATGACTCTTATTGTGGGCGTTGTGGGGATGAGGACTGCTCTTCTCGTTATACAGTACATGGTGATTCTGTTGACACTGTGCTTCTCCAAGGTTTATCAGAAGCTCAGAGTTTGGTGCTGATGTCTGATATTAGAGTGGTATGCTTACACTTTAGATTAATATAAGTTGATGCCCACTTTGTTTTTTTTTCACTTTTTCAAATTAATCATGTGTAATGTGAAGGTTTATTCATCTTTGCAGTGTGTATTCAGAAGGGACTTGAAATGTTGCCCCATGTTTAGTAACTTGAAGACTCTCACTCAATGAATACTGGTGTATGCCTGACTTCAGCTCGCTAACGTGTATTCTAGAACATTCACCTATTTTAGAGAAGCTCACTCTTCAACTATTTTGCAAGGTATACATTTTCTAGATATACAACTGCTGTATTTTCAAATTGTTATAGAATATCAATTGATGCTGGAAATGTCTTGATACATTTTGTAGGAATCCAAAACTGAAGTGGAAATGAAAGGAAGCCCTGATACAATGGAGAAATCAAATGTAATATCAGAGCATCTTAAAATTGTGGAAGTTAAATGTGAAGTGGTCGATGAAAAAGTGCTGAATGTTTTGAAGTTTCTCAGTAAACTTAGCATATGTAAGCTGTAGCACTTTCTATATATTTTTAATTTTGTTGAGAAAGCAAGTAATGAAGAAATTTGTTAGATCATTAATAATTAGTTAATACAATTGAAGAGAGATAGGATCCTTCTCACGTTTAATTGGTGGAAGAGAAGAGTAGGAAAAATTACTGTGTGGGGTCTAAAATGAATCCTTACCCAAAATGCATTAACCTGCTGATTTGTTTTGAATAGTGATACAAGTGTCTGAATTAAGTGATTTTGTCAGCTTACTGAAATCTGTGTTTACTGCTTAAGCCTACTTAAGAGGTGATACAATATGTTCTATTCTTGAATGCTTCTCTTTTTTTACTTGTACTTGTCCTTTTTCATTCCTGGTTGGTCTCCAAGACATTAATTTGATCATTACGTTGTTTGGATGTTGTTATTATAAAATTCTACAAGTATGACAGTATGAAAAGTATTATTCAATACAAATCTACTAATAAATTTATGTGAAGGTTTGGAATTTTGTTGCAGTCTGATAAATCTGTTTACTTGTGTTCAATATTTATTTGATGTATCTTGTTTCCGCTGGTTCAACGTTTACAAATATAGTTTCTCAACAAGCAAATATGCAAACAATGCTGATTATCCTATGTTTATTTAGCTTCCTTTCTTTACTTGTGGCTTCCAAACCCATATCATTTGCTAAAATTAATAATACCAGCCATCTGATTACTGTTGTTAGTGTGGAAATTACTGGATGTCATTGCTGGAGACTAATGTGATACTACCACTGTCAAAGAGATAGATTACCTAGTCGCTATTGGCTAATACTATCGTAGGAAATTTTCAATAACAGTTAGCTTCACCATCAGTGTATAAACCGTCTACAGATAGATTATCTAGTATACTATTGTAGGAAGTATGCAGTAAAACTTAGCTTTCACCATCAATGTATAAAGTAATATATAGAGTGGCTATGTAGAAATATTGCGCTAAAATATTCATTTTAAAAGTGGTTGTCAAATGTATTGTTGAAGAGATGAAGACACCCTTGGTGTCCAGCATGTTATATATGCTCTTGATTGGAGTAATTAATAAGTTTTCATTTTTTTAGTATAGTATATGTGGCCATCTTTAGAATAATTAGATATTCTACAATTTGGGCAAGAATTCTTTTGTAATGAAGTCTATACTGTGTCAGGTTTATTTGACATTTTTTCTCATTTCTCACACACTCTGCAAACTATTCTACTTTCAGGTTCGTTTAGGTTTCAATTTTGAGGAACAGAAAGTGAGAAATGCAGGTTGCGATTTGTAGGGATTGAACCAACAGGGCTGCATGAACACCCTCACTGCTAGCCACCCAAGCCAAGCCTCCGTCCTCAGGGTTAGAAAGTTTGTACTGAGCTGTATAAGGGAAAGCACATGGCTACCAAAGATGATGTCTTTATGTATATGTGATACCTTTGAACTGTACTTGTAGAACAACTTGAGATATCGTAGATGGTTGTTTTCCTTATCTAGCTAGGCCTGGCTTAACATGCTATGTTGTACTTTACAGCCATCTTGTAACATAGGGCTTGTTTACCATCTATTCTTGAAAGTTTGCCAGATTTAGAGTCGTTAATATCATAACACTGTTGTTCCTCTTGCAGTATATTGTTTTTCCTTTGTGCATAATGCCGTGTTTCAATGCAATAGCAATTCTCCTGCCTGGCTTTTCGCCAAAGACAAGAAAAATGCAAAGAGAAAGAACTTGCACTCTTATTTCCATGCCTGTAGGTTACAATTCGAACTAGCCCATGTTATTTAGATGTATGTAACTGATGTTTTTGTGTTCCCTGTTCATTCCATCACTGATTCAGCTGGAACCTTTTGGTGAGGATATTGTAATTTCTTGGCCTAAGTTTGTGTCTGTTAGCAAAATTTTCTGCGTATATATGACGTGTTAGCAATTATAATGTTGCCTCTCTTGATTAGAACAGGGCTAAACTATAGGACATGTTTATGTTAGCAACGTGGTGACCCCAGGAAGTAACATGAGAATAGAGCAGAACAGCTTCTGGACACCAATACAAGCATAGAGCTTTCATTGCTTCTGTTTGCTGCCACCTAGCCTCTAGGGCAGATGTTCTAGATTTGTTCGTAATATACTTCTAAGGCTAGTCTCAGTGCTAATTTCATGTCCCAGTTTCCAATGCTCCCATATATTTAAAAACAGTGCTAAATCTTCATGAAACTCTCTCTACTCTCATGAAACTTTTATCACCTCTCTCTTCATAAATATAGTGCCATGTCAGTATATTTAATGCCCTTAAAATTTTATGAAACTCTTATTGAGATTGGCGTAAGAAAAGAAGAGATGACATTATTTTACTCCGTGAAAGAACGGCGATGTTTCCAAAGTAAAAGGCATTAAAAGATTGAAGTGTTTTTAGTTGACATGAACCAAAAAAAATGCACAATAGAAGTGTTCTATGGAAAGTTTGTTTCAAAAGTCTATAATACTAATCGGAACAACAGTTCAAGTGATATGGGAATCCAAATTAGATGGTGTCGGATATATGGGACATGGAATAAAATAATGAATTAGAACACTACCTTTAAGCTCACCACGCAATTAGCCATTAAGACTTGTCACCTTTCATTAATTTTCCCATGTTTTTTTAGGGGAAGCAAAACCTTTATTGAGCTTCATAAGAAGTACAAACGGTCATTCGGCGGAGATACAAACCAAACATGTCTACCAAGATCATCATAAACACTACTTCTAGCTAAGACATGGGCATCAAAGTTTGATGAGAGAATTATCTATTTGGCACTAAAACAAATCAGTGTTTTGTATTTAGCACTCGAAAAATTGAACTTTTCTATCTGGCATCTAGTTGAAATTTCTTTTCTTAAATGGTATTACCGTCCATTTAGGACAGTAACGGTGTCAAGTGACTCGTAAAATGACATGAATACCCTTGTTTACAGCAGAAACCCATGATTCCTCGCATACTTTTTCAGTGTGTGATTCAAGTAACTTCTAAGCATAACTCGTCAGGCACAGCTAGGCCTCAAGAACTTGGCAATGGAGGATGTTGTTCTTGGCGCGGCTGCGGCCAGCGAGGTTGGACAACAGTCCCGTGACGAAACTCTTGGCATGCGCTTTGCCGGCGAGGGTCTGCCACGACAGCCGAGACGCTCATGTCGTTGCGGACGATGCAGAGCCTTCCGTGGAGGGCGACAATGGCGGCCGCCTCCACCGCCTGGGAGCTCCCTCGGTGCTGCTTGCTGTCGACGTAGGTGGTCCACGCGTCTGCGGCCTCGTCGTAGGCCCTCAACTGGCATCTGTCCTTGCAGTCGGCAGCGTAGAGCCAGCCGTCGAGGCACGCGCTGGGGCTCCGCCAGCCGGTGACCATGCCGTCGAGGACGACGGACCACGCGTCGGCGTCCGGGGGAGTACGCCTGGCTCAGCACCTGCTGCTGCGCGCCGATGCCCTTCACGTACCACCGCCCGCCGTGCACCGCGCTGACGAACGGCGCCATCGGCGCGGCCATCTCGGCAACGAAGGACCACCGGTTCTTGGCCGGGTCGAACACCTCGGCGGACCTGAGCCCGCCCCTACCACCGCCGCTGCAGCTCTCGCCGCCCGCGACGTACAGGCGGTTGCCCATGACGCACACGTCGAAGCACTGGCGGCGGCGCAGCATGTCCGGCGCGCGGTGCCACCGGTTGCTCCGGGCGCTGTAGAACACCACCCGTCGCATGGCGCCGCCGCCCCTGCGCGGGTCCCCTGCCGCCGAGCAGGTACAGGTGGCAGCCGCCGAGCACGGCGCAGCCGAACCCGTCGGCCTCCGCGTACTCGCGCGCCACGCGTCGCGTGACGGGTCCAGCACGTCCCACGACACGTGCCCGTCCCTGTATCTCGGACTGAGGGGTACATCGGACGTAGGGAGAAAAAGCCCGACATGGTCAAACCAGGTAAAATAACGGATGACAAATGAAAATGGACGACAGTGCCATTTAAAAAAAGAAATTTTAACTTGATGTCAAATAGAAAAGTTTAAATTTTCGAATGCCAAATACAAAACACTAATTTGTTTCGGTGCCAAATAAATAATTCTCTCATGAATGAACTCAACGAAACTGATCTCACGTGATCTGCTCTAATTTCCTGAACTATATGTCCATAAGAGCGCATGCTTCCTTCCCGGATACTCTTGATGACTTCTGCATTATCACACGATAGTCTAAAATCACGAAGAACTATATCACCACGGCCGAGGCACCAGGAATTTCTCCGCAGCGTCTCTTGCAACCGTAGCTGCCGTGACGACTCCCGAATTCTTGGCGGGCCTGCGGGGAACGAGATTGGAAAGTCCGGCTCCGGTGGAAACTTGGACCGGTGGGCTAGGCCCAGCCCCAGTGCCATTAGCGGGTGCTGTGCTGTGTGCTGCGTGGACCGCGGAGGTGGAACGGCCCACTTGTCGGTTCCCTTCAGTGCGTTCGAGAAGTGTTCAACACCTTTCGACCTTCCGCCACAAGCCAACCTCCTTCCAAGCAAGCATGAACGGCGAAGATCGCAACCCGGCGCAGCCGCCCATGGCGACGTGAATTCGCGAAATTTCTCCATACAGCCGACTCATGCGCACCAGGCACACTATTCTTTTCCCTCCATCTCCGCGACCCTGTGATCCCTCTATTCTACTCCGCGAGATCGATCTGGTTTGCACGGACACATCCGAGCCCTAGCGCCCTCCGTCCTCACTCCTCAGCGTCGTTGCTCCGGCCACCTGTGAAGCCGCCACCGGCCAGGCAAGGTGAGGTGGGCACCCAGCGCAGACTCTGTATTTCTCTTCGCCTTTTCCATTTCGGCTTCGACACCTGGCTCCATCTGAGCGATTCTTTCCACTGCAGCACCAACGCCCGCCAGCTGTTCGACGCAATGCCTCCGAGGAAAAGGGGCGGAAAGGTCAAGAGGGCGGCGCCTCCGAGGTCTGGCCGCCCCAGTCTCGATGCGCTCCCTGATGATGTCCTTCACCACGTGCTGTCATTCCTTCCAGCGCAGGAGGCTGTGCGGACGTGCGTGCTGACCCGGCGCTGGCGCCACCTCTGGAAGTCCGCCATGGGCCTGCGCATTTGGGCGGCGAGGACCATGAAGCGGCATCTGTGACGGATATCAGGGAGTTTGTGGACCATCTACTGCTCCTTCGCGGTGGCTCACCTCTTGACATTTGCGTGCTCGACTTGTGTGAATATGAAGACGAAGAGATTCCCCGTATGAAACTCTGGATCCGGCATGTTCTGATGTGCAAAGTCCAAGTGCTAAGCCTTGATATTAGACGGATTAACAATGGCTGGGACCCCTGGCTTGGTCTGCCTCTCGTCTCTCATGAGAATGTGAAGAGGCTAAAGCTCGGATGTACAACTCAATGATAGCTTCCTTGACTTCTCCAAATTTGCCCGGCATTGGAAGTCCTTGAGTTCGATTGTTGTCAATTCCTTGACCGCCATAGGATTTCGTCACAATCTCTAAAGTTTCTAAGCTTGAGGAATCAATTCGATTATGAAAGGATTTCTCGCACTCATATTTATGCCCCGAATCTCATTTCACTTTGTGCCTTGAAGCTAGTGGACTATTTGGATTCCTTTGCTAGAGAGCGTTGATCCTGGTTTACCTTTGCACGGGTAAGTAACTAGCTTATCAATTACACATACTCACTACGACTAGAGGTAGAAGAAGAGATTGAGAAACGGTATTACACACTCAAAGCAAGCACTGGCGTTGGCGAAAGCCTTGCCCTTTGGTTTGTGGCAATTGAACTAAATATTCCATTGCTCTTTGGATGGAATATATATAACTCTAGCTGTACCTCTACCAGGAATATAGTTGTTGGCCAACTACATACTCCTGAATATAAGAGTACACCAACTACCTACTCCTAAGTTATAGGGTACACCATGGTTTCTAAGTCGTCTCCAAGCGGCGCCTAGGCGTCAGGCGCTATTTGAAGGCAAGGCGTCGGCCTTGCCACTAACGACATCAGTATGGTGTCCGCCTTGCGAAAAAAGGCATCGCCTAAGCGCGATTAAGCGGCGTTGGAGCTCTGGCGGACGAGGCGGACGACGCCGCAGTGAATCGGACGACCTTTGGCCGCGAAGTTGCGCTGCGTGGGAAATCGTGACGCAGGAGTTCTTGGCGTGGCGCGGAATCACTCTGCGGGGAGTTGCGCATACGGGAAATCATGGCCGGCGGGCCTCTGACTCCCCAAGTCCCTATCTCATCTCTCCCGTGCGCCAAAGCCGCAAACTCACCTATTCTTGGTGCCTTGGCCGCTCCGCCTCTTCTTCTCCATCGATGTGCCTCCCCCGCCCGATTGAGTCTTCCACTGCCGATTTGAGCCTCCCTACTTGATTCGAGTCTTCCTCCCTCTTCTCCAGCGATTTGTGCCTTGGATTCACGACTCCTTGCATGGCTGCTCCGCTTGATTCCAGCCTCCGTGATTCTTTCCTCGATTCGAGCCTCCTTCCTCTTCTCCTTGATTTGCGACCACGATTTGTGCCACCTGCCCTCCTGGTCCTCCTCATCTTTCTTTGAGATTGATTCACGCGCCTTCCCCTTCTCTTCGTGGAGTCACGGGATAGGTGCGTAAGCATCACTTCCTCTCCTTGGCTTCCCTCCTCTTGGATG